CATTCCGATTTCCATATGTTCGTGGTTTCTCATTTTATTTGATACCTTATAAACTTTTTGAGACTGCATCAAGTAAAAGGACGAATTTCGTGAAAACCTACGTGCACGTAAATCGCTGAAAACCACTCATGCGCTCATATATCGTCCACAACGACAGCTCCGCAGATATGCATGTGTTTGGTTAAGTTTTCGTCTCTGAACATTTTCATAATTCTTCGGCGGCATAATTAGTACCTTGGTTCAATATGTTTCGTAAAAATAGACATAATTTGCACACCTGCGTAGTAGAAATCGACAAAGGTTTGCTTAGCCCAGAAATGAAATTAGTCGAATGTTGATTTGATTGTTTATAAACTAAAGGGGAGCCAGTTCCTCCAGAATTCTGCAGAAACGATTGGAAGAAAATCGTCCGTGTCACCGTCAACTTTGATGGTTGGATGGTAGTCAACTTTCATGAACGACAAGATAATACATAACTACCGTGTACTGTGGAAGAAGCGCATAATTGAGGAACTTTCTGATACATATTTAAGTACATTTCGTCTACAAAAAAAAAAAAAAAAAAAAAAAAAAAAAAAGGAATGCATCCAGCTTCTGAAAGGAAAAAAAAAATTACTTTCCTTACTCAGTATAGCAAGGAGGTCTGTGGTGTCGTCTTCATTTCAATATTTTATAAGTTATCCGATGTAAAATTATATCAAACTCATTTATGGGGAGGGAGATCTCCTGGACGCAAATAGTTGAGCTTTGCCTTATTAATAACCTTATTATTATTGTAGTAAAAACTCATCTGCAGATTCAAATATTTTATTTATAGAAACTACCAACATTATTATTATTTTAAAGTAATATTTTAATTTTTATCGTCAATATTACGTTTTCTGGAAAACAGTTATAACTAGTCTCTGAAATTACAGCTTTCAGATACATGCTCGGGCTTAAGTACATTTAAAAATTGATTTAAATTTTGCATTGATATTTGTATACATGTTCAGATATTTAAGTTTATCTATTTTTTTCTAACATGTACACATAAAAACTTTCCAAACCTTCTAATTTTAACTAATATTTCTTCTTGGAGGTTAATTTAAATAGTTCACGCAACAGCATCGGCTTTAGTCGCATGCAAGATGCCTCGCAGTTCGAAGCTCTCTGATTTCGAGAAAGGTATAATTATCGGGTACCACAAAAGTGCCCGATCCTTAAGGGACATATCTAGCGATCTGAAGTACCCAAAATCGACAGTGGCCTATGTGATTAAGAAGTGGAAGGTGAGTGGTAATTGTTGGAATGTGCCCCGAGTCGGCAGACCAACGAAATTGGGGGATAGAGACCGACGAGTGCTGTCCAGAGAAATTCGGAAGAACCGCACTCAACCAATGGCCCTCATCCGCGAGGAGTTTCAACAGGCATTCGGGAGTATTGTTTCAATGAATACCATCCATAAGGAAGCACATCTGCTTGGTTTTCATGGTCGTGCTGCTGCCCATAAGCCTTTGATCACAAAGTCCAACCGCGCTGCTCGGTTAATGTGGTGCAAAGCACATCAAAATTGGACCGTAGATCAGTGGAAAAGGGTTCTTTGGAGTGACGAATCAAGGTTCACCCTCTACCGTTCGTATGGCAGGGTCTGGGTCTGGCGTCTACCTGGAGAACGTCTCCTGCCAGAATGCATTTTGCCAACTGTCAAGTTCGGCGGAGGTGGAATTATGGTCTGAGGGTGTTTCTCCTGGTATGGGCTGGGACCTTTGGTCCCATTCATGGTAAGCTCAACTCCGATGCCTACTGCAGTATTCTGGATGACAATATGCTTCCTACGTTGTGGCAGTTTTACGAGTTGGACCCCTGTTACTTTCAGGACGACAATGCCAGTTGTCATGTTTCGACGTTAACCAAGGCTTAATATGGTGCCAATGGAGTTCATCGAATGGACTGGCCTGCCCAGAGTCCAGACCTGAACCCTATCGAGAACCTCTGGGACGAGTAGCATAGCCGAATTCAGGGGTGCACTACCCGTGCAAAATCGGTGAAGGAACTCCAAGCCGAGTGGAAGAAAGTGTTTGGAGTGTCTTCTCCAAGCCGAGTGGAAGAAAATACCACTAGCTGTCATACAAATACTTGTGGAAAGTATGCCCTGGAGGGTCCACGCTGTAATTACCTCTCGTGGGGGCTCTACCAAATACTGATTTTGAATAAAGTTAGTTTTTCTTTTCTATCACAGGTGTCCAAATACTTATTGGTAGTCAGTGTATATTGCATTTTTAAATTGGCAGTTCTTTTGTATCACTGAGTTTTTGGTTAAATTTGAAGCATAAATATCCTACGCTTTGCAGAGTGGAAACACAAAGCGTTTAAATCGCTGAGATTTTACGCATGAGTTTATCCAATTCGTAGAAAAATGGTAATAAATTTAAAAAATGTCTGAAAGTTTTGAGATTTTATATTATCCCTAAAGGGTCGTTTTTGAACGTTTTGTGTGTTACCTTTATTTATTAAATATCATGGTATTCGCATTTAAGCCATAAAGTTTAACTCAGCAGCAATATGACAAAATATTTAAGAAAAGCATGTCTTTAGAACTTCCGACATACAGTCGGCGCTAGCTAAAGCTAAAAATGTTGTTTTTTCGTACAGTGTTGCTATTGCTTGCTCAGAAATCGTTGAGTTTGCCAATTAAAAATTCGTTAACATTTTACAGAATATGAAATACATCACTGCATAGTATAAAACAAAGTCGCTTTCTCTGTCCCTATATCCCTATGTATGCTTAAATCTTTAAAACTACGCAACGGATTTTGATGCGGTTTTTTTTTTAATAGATAGAGTGATTGAAGAGGAAGGTTTATATGTATAATAACATAATCATTAAATAGTGGTTAATAGTCCTTAAATAGTGGAAATACTGTTATTTTTGAGGTTCCTAATGTGATGTCGTAAATAATTACATTTTTTTCCGCTTACATTGCAAACGCAGGCTGAACCCTACGAGATTTATCAAAATAATGTACTAAGTATTGTACACATTGAAAAGGTCTACAGATTTAAAAATTGCGGGACGTAGCGTTTGCGGCGGTACCGGCCGGCCGGGGCGGCGGGAGCGTGCCTATAAATAGCGCGTCGGAGGCCGCGGTTCTCCCTATAGCACTTTGAATTTAGCAGCGATCGGACGCGTTTATTATCGGAGCTCTCTAGCGAGGAAAATAACAATATACTTAATAAAACGTGCTTTTCAGCGCGACAACGTATCAGTAATTATAAGTAAGTTACGATAAATAATTGTATGATAGTAGTTTTAAAATATAAATGATATTCTATTCTAAGGTTAAAATTTTTAAATCGCACTTATAGTAATTATAAGTACATAAGGTTAGATAAGATTAGATTAAATAAAACCATAATTTATGGATTGGAATTTTCTATTAAGATCTTGGTTAAAATTTAGAGTTAAATCAATTTAATATTAGGGAAATTATTTTCAAAAATCGTAATTTAAGGTGAGGTATGTAAGTTCAGAAAAAGAACTTAATAGAATACGTATCTTTTGTTGTTGATGATTGTTGATTATCTTTTGTTTTTTAGTCGCACGAATAGCAAATTATTTTTTAAGTATTTTTAATTTAATTAAAATCGTAGTTTAAGTTGAGGTATTTCAGTTAAAAAAAAAGAACTGAATAGAATAGGTATCTTTTGTTTTTTATGATTGTTGATTATCTTTTGTTTCTAAATGGTAAGTATTTAGATATTTTTTACTGCGGCACATACTAATAATATGGCAATTTGTGCATAGGTAATCATACATATAGAACTGAGTAAATTTTTTACAGAAATTATAAAGTCATGTCTGGAAGACGTCGTCGTTCGAACATAGGTCGTAGTACAGTGAATGCCAGAAGAGTACGTTCAGCAAGAGATGAAGAATCGTCAACGGAACGTGAGGCTCGCCTCAGTCAGGCTCGAGATAGATATAGAGCTGAGAGAGAGAGAGAGAATCTTCAGTAGAGCGTGAGGTTCGCCGCAGCCGGGATCGAGATAGGCATACGGTTCAGAGGGACAGAGAATCGTCAGTAGAGCGTGAGGCTCGACTCAGTCAGCTTCGAGATAGATATAGAGCTGAGAGAGAGAGAGAATCTTCAGTAGAGCGTGAGGTTCGCCGCAGCCGAGATAGGGATAGACATCGAAGCCAGAGAATCATCAGCACGAGTTACTAATTCATGGGTAAATAAGGAAAATTCTGCCATGAATTACGATCCTTCGATTTCTTACAAGGACGATCGTATAGTATCAATAGGTACTATGTCAGTAGTGTGTGAACATTGCTTGGCATTGAAATTCAAGGACGAATCGGAAGGCATGTGTTGCTTACAAGGAAAAGTCAAATTAGAAGAAATTCTCATTCCACCTGAACCACTTCACTCTCTTCTTACGGGTGATCATCAGAAATCCAAACAATTCATGCGCAATATACGCCGTTATAATAACGCATTTCAAATGACCTCTTTTAAGAGTAAGCAAGTCGTTGAGCGTGGGTTCATGCCTACATTTAAAATTCAAGGGCAAGTGTACCACTTAGCTGGGAGCTTGCTACCACTTCGACCCGATGATCACAAATTTCTGCAAATATATTTTATTGCAGATCCAGATACACAAGCATCTACGCGGTGTTCAAGTGTTGCACAGCCAATTGATAGAGATTTGATTAGATCTCTCCAAGATATGTTACATTCTCATAATTGCTACATGCAGTCTTTCAAAACTGCGATTGAGAGTGTTCCAACAGATTCTTCTGACTTTAATGTCGTAATCTATGCAAATAAAGTTCCTGTTGGAGAACACAGAGGACGATACAATGCGCCTTCCACGAGTGAAGTAGCAGTGGTGATAGCTGGAGCGCAGTTTGACAAAAGAGATATTGTATTGCATAGTCTTGATGATAACTTGTAAAACATTTCAGAGTTACACAGCTTACAATATTTACTTATGACAGCTTACAATATCCTTTGATGCTATGTCGTGGAGAAAATGGTTATGCCATTAATATTTCTCAAGTTGACCCAATCGGTGGTACACCTCTGCGTAAAGCAGTGTCATGTATGAACTACTATTGCTACCGTATAATGACAAGACGTAACAATTTCAACACTTTGCTTAGATATGGAATGTTAAACAAACCAATACTTGGTAGATCAATATGCGAAAATTGAATCTGAGAGATTGGCCTACATCCGTAATAATCAAACTAAATTGAGAGCCGAAAATTACGTTCATCTTCAGGATGCTTTACAGGCGAATGAACACCGCAACGGCATTGGGCAGTTGGTTATACTACCTTCATCATTCACAGGTGGACCTCGATATTTACACGAAAAATCGCAAGACGCCATGACTTACGTCAGAAATTACGGCAAACCTGATTTATTTATAACTGCAACATGTAACCCAAATTGGCCGGAAATCAAAGAAAATATTAACACCAATTTAACTCCACAAGACAGATACGATATAGTTAACAGAGTCTTCCATTTAAAAGTACAGAAACTCCTGCACCTAATTAACAAGTCTCATATATTCGGTCCGCCGCGCTGTCATATGTACACAATAGAATGGCAGAAACGTGGCTTGCCACATGTACACCTGCTGGTGTGGTTAGTGAACAAAATTAGACCAAACCAAATTGACAGGGTTATTTCAGCTGAATTACCGGATAAAGATGAAGATCCTATCCTGTACGAAATCGTAAAGAAACATATGGTACACGGCCCTTGCGGGACTTTAAACCCGAATTCTCCATGTATGCGAGATTCTAAATGCAGCAAAAAATTTCCGAAGTCGTTCCAAACTCAAACAAGTACTAGCGATGACGGATATCCCAAATATCGTCGACGATCGCCAGAACAGGGTGGGCAAAATGGTACCGTCCGAAACCATGATATTGATAACCGATGGATCGTTCCCTATAATCCGCTCCTTTTGAAAATTTTTGATGCCCACATCAACGTAGAGTTGTGCAATTCAATATGTTACTAAGTACATTTTATAAAGGCAGTGATCAAGCCACTTTCAGCATACAATCACCAAATGAAGTCGAAAAATATCAGTCTGGACGTTACATCTGCAGCTCTGAAGCTGTACGGAGGATTTTATCATTCGAAGTGCACGACCGGGCTCCCACAATTGTTCACCTTGCAGTTCATTTAGAAAATGGACAAAGAGTATATTTCACTGAGAACAATATACAAGAAGTTGTTAATAACCCTCGGGATACAACATCAACATTGACCGCATTCTTCAAGTTATGTGCTCAATATGATTTCGTGAAAACACTGACATATGACAGAGAGTTCCAAGTTACTATACATGGAACCAGAGTTCTAAAACTTTTCAACGGCGAAAACAAGGTACTGCGGTTGATGGTTTCCCCGGAGTAAAAAAAACGGATGCTCTTGGCAGAGTCTACGTGATTCATCCCAAACAACAGCGAATGCTTTTATCTGAGAATGTTACTGCATATTGTAAAAGGCCCGACATCCTTTGCACACCTAAGAACTGTACAAGGTGTTGTTTATAATACTTATCAAGCAGCATGCAAAGCTATGGGGCTCTTGGAAGACGATTCTCACTGGGAAAACACATTATCGGAAGCAGCTGTTTGTAGTTCAGCTACATCATTAAGATATATTTATTTGCCGTCATAGTAGCGTTTTGTCAAGTAACTGATTCTGTTAATCTATGGAATAAATTTCAAGAAAATATGGCCAGTGATATTCTGATTCGGCGACGGCGAGAGTTAAACTCAGATGATGTACAATATGATCAAAACATATTTGACGAAGCATTATTTGAATTGAACAAAGTAGTGCAATTACTTTCGGACGGGTAAATCATTCAAGGATTTTCGGCTGCCGATGCCAGCTAATACTACTTATGCCTACCTAATTTATGTTCCTTTTACTAACTCAGATTTAACTAACAGTGCCGAATACAAAAGAGAAACATCATACGATCAAACGAGACTTTTACAAAATATAGCTCAAGATGAGCCACGATTAAACATCGATCAGAAAAAAGTATTCACTACATTACTATCAACAATTGATAACAATGAAGGGAAATTGTTTTTCCTTCATGCCCCAGGAGGTACAGGAAAAATATTTTTAATCAATCTGCTTTAAAAAAAAGTGAGATCTACCGGAAAAATTTCGTTAGCTGTTGCGTCATCCAATATTGCCGCTACGCTTTTGAAAGGAGGCCGAACCGCACACTCTACATTCAAGCTCCCGCTGAAAATGGCCACCGATAATAATAACAGCGTCTGTAGTGCTTCTAAACAGAGCAATACAGGAAAATTAATGCGTGACTGCTCATTAATAGTCTGGGACGATGCTACCATGTTAAACAAGACGTCTGTGGAAGCACTGGATAGGACAATGCGCGATTTGAGCAACAAAAATTCACCTATGGGTGGATGTACAATTCTGTTCTCAGGAGATTTCCGTCAAATCCTACCAGTTGTGACTCGAGGAACACGGTTTGATGAAATAAATGCTTCCCTAAAAAGATCCAACCTTTGGCCACATGTCAATAAATTAGAGCTTAAAACTAATATGAGGGTTTCGTCATCTTCACGTGAGAACAGGCTATTTCCAGAGATGCTGCTAAAAGTTGGCAATGGAGTGTTAACACAAAGTGAGGAAAGGATTAACCTAGAAAACCTTTGTGTTTTGATAGACAACATTCAAGAGTTAGTCAACAATGTCTATCATGACATTGATAACATAAGTTATAAGACAATATCTTGGTTTAAAGAAAGAGCAATTCTGTCACCAACTATATACGAGATGCCTATATACGAGTGGAGGTCTACGTTACTCAAAATTTGATGTCCCGAGGTAACGCTGTTTTTCCACAATGCAAGAAACATACATGCATTCGTGCAGATTCTTCATCAGTATTTACTTTCTTTTTATGTAATGCAGGGCTCTAATATTTGGTGGCAACAATTTTAAAAGCGAAACGTCGTTTTATAGCGGACGACACAAATTGCTAAAACAAAATAATATGGCAAATTACCCCTTTGAGCTAATAAACTCGAAATTCTAAACTCGGGCTTCGAGGTGCATATATCTAGATGTTCAGAATTCGCTGGCTTTAGGTGCATGTATCGCCGTTTTTCTGCAATCCTAGGAACATACGAATACACACACATACAAAGTATTAATAATTTAATAGTAAAAAGTTATTAGACAATTTGCGTGAACGTCTTTATTGCTGCTCAAAAGAGCAGGCCCATTTGGTTTGTACGTTGCTCAGTTTACGAAGATACGCTATGGATTCTTTCAAAACAAAACTCTAAAATTTCCAACATTAATATACCGATAGGAAGCCCTAATTTCAGTTTTACATGAAATATTTCTTAGACCGCATGATCATTGCCAAATGTGTCAAACCAACCGTATATGTATATCGAAAGTGGCAACTTGTATAATTTTATAATATCAGTAATCTGGAGAACGCTTTTCCAAAAATATATTCGAAAAAATATTGAGCTCATAACCTTCAAAGATATTTATAATCTCTATATTGTAACTCGGATGTAAAATATTGTATTTTCAAATCTAAACGTATATTTATGAAATGGAAAGAAAATACTGTCTAAGCTTATAAAAACCGGCTTGATTCAGTTTTTAAATGTTCTATACTGAAAAATACGAAAGTAACCTTTTGGAAAATGGAACGCAGTTGAATTCATCTAACAATCTGGGTCCGATCAATATGAAATCCTAAATCAAACGCTGATATCAACGTCACGCATATCCAAATGTACTTGAAAACAACAACACGCAAAACTGCTGTTAGCATTTTTTGAATTTTATGCATGCATTCTATTTAAAATGTTTTCGTATTTGCAGCAAAAGTAAGACTGACCTTTCAAGGGCAACAAAAAATCCAATGTGTATAATGTTATCTAATGCAATTTAAAAAATATTGATGTGGATTTACCATTCTCTGCAAAAGCTGTGCGAACTCATCCTAACCTCTCGATTACCAGCAACGAGCACAGCTTGCATTCCAGTTACTCACTGCAGCCAATGCAAACCAGCAGAGCTCGTATTAAAAATTTACGACTGACAGACATCGAGTGTATTGGGAAGAAACAATTGCTTAATCTCATAACTGTCGAAGAGTTAAAAAGCAAAATGTAATCAAAATAAGAAAGATAAATGATTTTATTTCTCAACTAGCTAATAAATGTGCAAAATTTCCCTTACATTTTCAACGCCTTTTGAATATAAATGTGAAATTTTGTTGAAGAAAAGTTGCCTTTGAGGCAGATACCAGCGCCTTAGTGACCGAGTGGTTAAGATCGCTGAATACGTGATATCCAACCCGGGTTCCATCCTAGGCGAACGGGCTAGCTCCATGGTTGGATTTCATGGTTTTTCCATATGTAACGTGACTATGAGCCAGTTTCTCTCAGCAATGTTCTTCACAAATTTATCCCTCTCCTTAGGTAGATAGCTTTCACAGCTTTGGAATATTCGAATAACCTAACCTAACCAAACACTAAGCAGTTAGTGGACAACTGCGTAACATGGTTGAATTCTTGTCTCGCAGAATAAAAAAAAAACCTCTCTATAGCCATAAAAATAAAATATTTTTTCTGACTTTCTTTCCAGTTGGATGGTGTTCCCCCAGAGGCAGAGCGGAAACGTCGCCTGACATTGGTAGTTCGACATGAGTTCTATCCTAGGTAAACGGTCTGTTTGCAGAGCTGCTGTTGTGAAGTTCTCTACATCAACACTAACCAGCCTCCCTTAAACTTCCTCCACGAAGGCATCCCTTCCCGTAGGCAGACAGCCCTGCTTTACTTTGTCGAATTCCAATAGCTAACCTAGTGATTCTCAACCCCAGTGCAGCGGCTTAGTGCGCAGCTAAACTTTACGAAAGCATGCAATAAAAATTATTGTACATTTGTTACATATAATAGGATTGCTCTCACACAAAGCCATTTCTTTCTTTTAATACGAGTTAATGATATCTCTATAACTTAACGTCATGAGACGCCACTGTGAAAACTACACATAAGGGACATTAGTAGGACAGTATATAAGCCCGGAAAGGAAATATTTAACTTCAACTATAAAATTAGTGAAGAATAATGATAGTTAAAGAAAGTCAGTTACCTCTCAAAAGACTGTTATAAAAGAATTCATAAAATAACTATTGGTTATTTCACATTTCTTGAGAAAAAATTGTTCATTACTTTTCTAATTTAAAAAGAAAAAAGAAAAAGGGAAAACTGAAAGAATTCAGATTTTAATCTCGGTGTCCGCCGATAACATCGCGGCAAAAACATCGTAGACGAAACCGTCGTGGAGAAAACAACGGAAGGAGAAAACGTCGTGCTAACATAACATCATGGGAGAAAACATCACAGTTCTAAAGCATCGTAGTATCGTCGTCGAAAATAAAGCGGTTAAAAAACTTCGCAGTTTAAAAACATCGTCGTCGAAAATATCGTGGTAAAAAATAAAATATCTGCAAATCATCGCATGACGATAACATCGCAGACAGGTTTTTTCAGGTTTTAATAATTGTAAATGGATATTCTCATAATAATTTGTGAGCGCAAGATGTAAAGAAGGATAATTTTTACTTTTACATTTTTTTATTAACTAATAAATTTTTGCTGAAAACGTAAGAAGGTAACTTAAGCTTAGAAAATTAAATGCAACTTATAAATTATACGTTTCATGAAAAATTACCAGTGAAAACTTTATAAAAATGATTTATTAATGGCCTTTGTTTGTTAACTCTGTCGGTTTAAAATTCTATTAAGTGCTATAAGTTGCATTTATTTTCTATGCTTAAGTTTCCTTCTTATTTTCTCAGCAAAAATGTTTATAGAAAGTTAATAGAAAATATGAAAGTAAAAATTATCCTTCTTTTCATCTTGCGCTCACAAATCCTTTTGGGAAATCCATTTACAGTTATTAAAGCCTGAAAAAAGCATGTCTGCGATGTTATCGTCATGCGATGATTTGTAGTTACTTTATTTTATTACCACGATATTTTCGATGACAATGTTTTTAATCTGCGAAGTTTTGAACCGCTTTGTACACAATGTTTAGAACCACGATGTTTTATAGCACGACGTTTTTGCCTTGCATTCTTTTCTCCGCGAAGTTTTCGTCCGCGATGTTTTTGCCGCCATGTTTTTGCCGCCATGTTTTCGGCTGTAACCTTTAATGCCCCACGAGAGGATTTGTTAAGGTCTTTTACGCTCTCGTTGAGTATCGCAGTTCACCAATTTGCTCTCGGACTCCCACCTGAGTAAACCTGTATCTGCCGTTTTAGCTTTATTATTAATCACAGCTTTCTTCGCCCTTACGCCACATAAAATTCCAGAGTAAAATCACAAATAATTTCAAAGCAACAAATCTTTACATTTCCCGATAGAGTGTTAAGGACTGCCATATTTTTTATATGTCCAGCTAGTGTTACTGCATAAAAATATTGGATACTTATAATTACACATATCATGATTTAAGGCATCTTTATTAGACCAAAGTGGCAATATGTCTAGAAGGCCTATTAATTTCATTTCCGCATTTTGCGTTGGTTCACTATAAATGTCGGTTTACTTTTCAAATTGTTGCCACCGAATATTAGAGCCCTGCATTATATTTAAAGAAATTGAATAAAGAAGGCCTATGCCTAAATGAAACAACGGTACCTAGAGCCATTAAATCTTGAATAACACATGTTCCCACCCGAATACGGGCATTTGGAATTTGGGATTTATATTTATTATCTATTTCACATTTTGTAAAACTTTTGTAAGATTTATCCTAAGTTTTTAACAGTTATCTTTAGTTAAAGTTACTTTCCTATCTCTTCTAATTTCAGCTTACAAATTTCCGGCCAGAGTGTGTTTTAAGAATCGCGGTTAAATTCAAATGAAGGAAGAGCAGTACTTAAGTCGAAGTTTCACTGACTTCGTTAGAGGGCCAGAAATTCTGACTAGCGCGCGTTTGCCACTTGGCTACACTCTCTCTAAGTTATTACTACGTTCGACTATATTTCAAGCCCTTGATAGCTTCGCCGTTAAGTTAACATTTAGGGGCCAACTTCTGAAGAATTTTGATAGCTTCGGTTATATCCTTTTAGGTAACCATTAGTTAAGTTTTATTTATTTCTTTTTTTTTTCTTTATAGTATTCTTTTGTTCAATCCCAGGTGGGTGCTCTTCTGTACGTCCTGAGAAAGGCCCATCTGTTAATACTTATTTTGAGCAATAAAGGGTAATTAATCCTTCTTGAGTTTATGTTTATGTTTCCTGAGCTAAAGCGATTATTCGCTTACCAGTTCTCAAAGTTACACATTCATAGCTGTAAATTCTAGGTTGGAACCTTATACTTTAACGGATTTTTCATTTACAAACTCAACGATTTCAAAGAAAGCAATGGCAAACCTGTACGAAAAAAAAAGTTCTTATCTCCAGCGCGCGGGACTGTGTATTGGAAGTTCTAAGGACATGCTAATTTTAAAATTATTTTGAGATATTGTTGTTGAACTGAATTTTATGCTTTAAGTGCGAAGAAAATGATATTTAGTAAATAAAGGAAACACACAATATGTTTTAAAAATGTCCCTTTGTGCTTAATGCAAAATCTGTGGCTTTCAGATTTTTTTATTATTATTTTAGTTAATCAAATTAAAAAGTAGAAAGCAATCTTTTTAAGAACTGCGTTTATTGCTTTTTAATAATTTTGGTTGCTACTTAGTAACACAAAGATTAAATTTGAAAGTGAAATATTTTACATGTTACTCAATGGCATCACGCTGGCTTAGGGAGATTAAAAAGTATTTTATTTGAG